CACATACATACATACATACATACATACACGCGCACACGCACACGCACACGCACACATACACACAACTGAAGCCGTCTCTCGTTGGGCTTTGTCTTAATTTTTCGCTTCACAGCTGTGCGCGGCAGTGATTGGCTGTTTATACACCGCAGCCGCAATGTCTTTGGTGTGTGCGTGTGTGCGCCTGCCGGTGTGCGTGCGTTCGTTCGTGCGTGCGTGTGTTTAGTGTGGCTTGCTATGCTAGGTGAAGGCTCCACCTAATTAAATGCTTATTATTATACCTTTAATCTACATTTAGTATAGCTATATTATCATTAAAACCCGTGAGAAAACACATTAATAGTTTCACACAATTTCAAAAGGTTATGGTATATATAGTGTGGTGTGTGTGTGTGCTCTTAGACAATCGAAACGGCGTCTAAAAATGTCAGCGCATTGAGAGCCGGGTAAGCGCGGGCACGGTTACACCTCCCGTTGTCAAATGTTTGCACACGCGCGCACGCACGCACACACCGTATTCACACACATGCATATACGGGCATGCGCACGCACAATCACACGCGCACCCACGCACACTCATACCACATTTACACACACACATACACGCACACGCACACGCACACACGCACCCTAACCCTAATCCTAACACTAGTGCTGCCACGTTGCGGTCACCTCCCTCCACGCCCGGGGGATAGTATTTTACCGCAGCCGGCTGAAAGGTGCGATAGGATATGTTTACTAGGCACTTCTAATTTTAGTTCCCAGCGGCGCACGTATACATTACGTGTGTTAGGAGTGCCTATAGTAAACATATCCTATCGCACCTTTCAGCCGGCTGCAGCATGCCCCGTGTGTGCGCATGCGGATTTGGCAATCTTAAAATTTGGTGCGGGTTTTCGATGAATGCCGAAGTTTCTTCGGGCACATAACTTTTTCGAAAATTTCCTCAAAAAGTCATTTTACGATCGAAAAATCGCGTTCTAACGTAGCGGAATGTATTCGCGACGCCCAGAAGGGGCCCCAGCTCGTTTCGCGTGAGAATACGTGGCACGGTTTCGGAGGAGATACGGAAAACGACACTTCGGCTCTTTCTACTATTATATAGTAGATAGTGTATATACTGTACATATGTACATGTAGGTGTACGTGTACGTGTACGTGTACGGCGTACGACGAGCTTATATATGTTTATAGTGTTTATAGTGTATATACTGTACATATGTACGTGTACGTGTACGTGTACGTGTACGTGTACGTGTACGTGTATATGTACGTGTACGTGTATGTGTATGTGTATGTGTATGTATATGTATATGTATGTATCTAGATAGATAGATCTATATATATATATATATATATAAAATATAATATATAAGTAATAGTGCATTATAATAGGCATCGTGTACCGTTCAGCTCGGATACAGTAGGCGAATAGAGGAGAGACACGACCCCTCCCCGCACACACAGACACACCCACCCCCCACACACACGTGCGCCGTCTTGGCCTGTTGTATAAAGCATTAACCAGCCACGAGATGCTGCGAAAATGTTCGTCCGCATCTTTGCGTGGGCGCACACACACGTCCGTCGAATTAAGCAACAATAAACGCGGGATGCGGTCGGGCTACACTAAATAAGGAGGTGAGGAATGCGCACGCACACACAGCAGAGACAACAAATACACCGCGCGACGCCGCACGGCACGCAACGCTACATATGTACACAGCTGAAGAAGAGAGAGAGAGAGCAAAAGAACGAAAGAGCGTGTGTGAGTGAGTGAGGGAACCGGATAGGCGAGAGAAAATAAAAGAGCGAGAGAGAGAGGAGAGAGAGAGCAGAGAAATAATGTGGTGTCCGCGTGTGTGTAGGTGTGTGTGTGGTGTGTGCTGTGTGTGTGTGGTGTGTGTGTGGTGTGCCTTGTGTGTTGTGTGTGTGAGGAAATCCTTGTGTGTGTAAGAGAGAGAGAGCGGCGAGAGAGAGAGAGAGAGAAAGAAAGTAGAGAAGAGAAAGAAAGAGAGAGAGAGCGAGCGAGAGAGAGAGAGGAAAGAGACGAAGAAGAGAAAGAAGAGAGAGAGCGAGAGAGAGAAAGCCAAAAGCCGAGAGAGAGAGAGAGAGAGAGAGACGAGAGTAGAGAGAGAGAGAGAGAGAGAGAGAGAGAGAGAGAGAGAGAGAGAGAGACGAAGAGAGAGAGAGAGAGAGAGAGAAAGAGAGAAGAGAGAGAGAGGAGAGAGAAGAGGAGAAGAGAGAGAAGAGAGAGAGAGAGAGAGAAGAGAAGAAGAGAGAGAGCGAGAGAGAGAGAGAGAGAGAGAGAGAGAGAGAGAGAGAGAGAGAGAGAGAGAGAGAGAGAGATTGGGGAGACTATTTGAAACGACCTGCAGGGGTATTCGAAAAACAACTGCTGATCACGTAGAAAGCAAAACATTGAATCAACAATAATTACAGTAGGAAGTTCTAATACAGAAGAAGAAGAATGTAGAATTAGGCTCGGACCACGGATAGAGACAGCAGCTGCTGCTGCCGTGACGCAGACGTGACATGCTTAGAGATGCAGACAAAACAGCGCACGTGGGTTTAAGCGTATTTCGCATCCTCGAAGCCTTTACGCTACAGATTTGCTGAAAACTCTCATTGTGAACTTTTTGCTGTAATTCTTTTGTATTATATATTTTGTATATTGTTTTATATGTATTATTATATGACACGCAAGTGCTAACGACACCGAATGTACCCGCAGTCTTCCCCGTAAAAAGCAAGTTGAACGTATAAAAAATCGCATAAATAGAGTTTGCACCCGTAGGCTAACTAACGAACAAATGGCTATTGTTTACGGCTTGCGGTTTATTATTCCCGCAGGGAGAGCATATTTACATAAACAGAAACTGCAAAATTGGTTATATAATGCAACAAGCAAACCGTAAAAAGTAGAAAGAAACGCTAAAAGCAGTTACGCGAATTCTATTCGACAAAAAGCAGACAAAAGTAACAAATACTCTGCAATTTCATGTTGTCTGATGAATACGCTTTAAATAAGTAAATACTGTTTGCGACGGTTAAGGAGGTTAGGGTTATTCCGGGAGGACAAACCGGAGCAATCGGGCGTAAAACGACTGAACAGAGTTCCCTATAGCCGATAAAAGAATGCAATCACTGCATCAGCCCAGTGTGCGCCCCGCATATAGCAGCAGCAACACGAGCTAGCAACACACGATACAGGCTGGCCAGAAGAAAAGCAAAGTTCGCTTTGTGAACTACTTGCCGAGTAGACTCGGAAAGAGCGTTTCGAATAACTACAATAACGGTGACACGAATAGAACATCATAGCCAGAGCGACAAGGCACACGAAAACCGCTCATTCGTACGACACGAACGCACGGCCTGCGGTCGCCCAGACGCCCACGCAATCTACTGCGTTGCAATGCCATTATTTGTTAGAGACAATTCGTTGCACAAGTCGCCCTCATTTTTTGCGAGCTAAAAAAACGAGCGCCTGGATCTACAGTCGCCGTGTATTTGTTGATACGGTTCTCTGAAGAGCCCAAACGCGTTGTCGAGTTGCTTTCCAGATTCAAGTGCCGTAGAGACGAGCCGTTTCGAGGAGGATTGTCAGGATGCTGATTCTTAATGACGTTATAGCTACATCGAGAGAGCTACGCGAAGAGTTAGGCG